CGGAACCGTCTCCCTCAACTGGATTCATGGCTTTTCAAGCCAGTGCATGAAAGTGGTGACCAGCTTGTCACTCAACTTTGTCAAGCTGTCTGCCCATTGGAGGCGGGTCGGAACCCAGTGAACGTCAGGCCTTTGCAGGTATTGCTGGATTGCTCTGATGACCACTATGGTCCTTTTGTCCTCCGCGCGAGGATTCTCGCTGACCAAGACGTCGTACAACGATCTGCAGTCTGTGACACCGATGATGCGAAGTGTCCGGGTCAGCTTGAACGAAGGGCAGCAGAAAATCATCTCGGACAGCAGGAATGAAAGGAAAGCGGCTCGATCAATTCCAGTGTCACATGCACTTGCTTCTGCCAAAAGGGTGCTCCTGCAAACTCGGCAGCTGCGGCTTGACTTCCAATCTATCAGCAATCCCGTCCCTGTGGTGTCGGTGATCTTGGGATCGGCGATGAGGACCAAGTTGCCATGCTGGCTAGCTGAGCCTTCAGCGTTGGCCCATGAGCTGTCAGAGAAGCTGACCAGCAAACTATGCTGGTGGACTGGAACTGGCCACATGTTGATGCCGTTGTTTGGTGAGGCATGGAGCAACTGTACTGCATCATACAGGCATTGCAAGTCCTTGTAGGTGGACTTTGTTCCGCGGCTGCACAACGAAACTGTTGATGCCACCTCAGGTCGACATTGACCTGCAAGCCACTGCAGACATCCTGCAACGGAGCGAAACTCCGGCGTGTCTTCCGGTTGGATCACCTGACCCAGTCGCTTCTTGCATGCGACATTGCCAACTTTCATGCCAGCGATGAACTTGGACTGGGTCAGGGCCAAGTAGCAAACCTCACCTTGGCGTTTCAGCTGACTTCTTTTCCTTTGAACACCAGGCTCTGTTGTTCCGTGAGGGCATCTTGACTTCCCCACTGGAAAAGTCGGGTGAGCTTGGACCTGTCCCAACGCTCATTGTGGGTGAGGAGGAAGTCGTCAACATATGCAACCAAAACTGCTGCCAACGACTCATGCTCATCTCCGGGCAGGCGCTCCCACAAATAAAACAAAATCTTGTCCAGCGAACGCTGGCGGAATCCGGCTTTTGTGGTGAGCTCCTTGACAACATGCAACGACCATGTCCTGGGGGCGCTTGCAAGGCCATAGATGTTTCCAACAATCTTGTAGAGCGGTGAACGAAATGTTCCTGCAAGCTTGGTTACCCCATCTTGAGGTGGAAGCATGTACAGCGGAAGACGACGAGGATCTGGCGTCCCCTGCAGGAATGCGGTTTTGATGTCACCACACCATAGCTGCCATTTGTCATGGCCATCAAGAAACATGTTGTTGTGGCCTGCGATGAAGATCGCATACAACGTCGAGATGACCCAAGGCGACGACCCGTGTCTTGGCCTTGAGCGGGCCTTGTCCCTTTGCCTTGTCTCTGTACGCGGCTCTTGACCGCAGAATCCTCTTCTTGAGGATTGGGTCTTTGAAGACCTGAGATGCCTCCTGGGTCGTGAGAGGGATCACGCTATTAAAGAGTTTTCCTTGCATTGGGGTTCCCAAAATGAATGGGGTTCCCAAACTCTCTCGCTCAGCTACCACCCAAACTCTCTCCCTCAGCTACCACTGACAGTGGGTTGATGGTGTGAAAAACATCATGCGCCGTCTCAATTGTTGAACTGGCCTGCCATGTTGGCGACATCATGAAGGAACCACGTTACTCTTACCTCCTCCCTGCCCTGGAAAGCCCACCTCAAATTGGTTTGGTAGCCCTTGTTTGTTGATGTTTTGCTGTGTGAACAGTTCTTAGTGGTGGTAAGAGCTGTGATGACTGGTCAACGCTTCAGGAAAGAGACTCGGAGAGACCTTTTTGGCGCAACAAAGTTTTGAAAGTCCAATCGCCAAACATCAGTTAAATCCTGATCCTGGGTGAGCCGATAGGAGGCACGCGACTAGTAAAAACAAAAACAGTACTTCACTAAGTCTTTTATGGACAGCAAAATGTATATAAATATGTTTGCTCTAACTTTCACTCTTCATTCATACCACACGTACATGAATGGCTTTAGTAGGGCCCTCACCCAGGACAGGCCTCAAAACTCAAGGCGTCAGGCATACCGAGTTTTCGGGCTTGAGTTGAGCTCACGCAATGCAGCGAACTCCCGGAAAATTATATCCGCAGTTCGGCTATTTGATCTCAGGTGGCAGCTTGCTGTTTCTGAAGGTCTCCAAATTGTTTGAAAAATTTCACTTCGATGGACTCCGCAAGCCACAAGCCAGATCCTGGGTTGTGGGCAGAGCAGTTGACAAATAAACATGTTTTCATTTAAATAGTATGAGGCTTTCGTACCCTGCCCATCGTCCAAAATCTAAAACGGCATTGGGCGTTGGACCAAACCTGTCAAATTAATTTCGTTTCTTCACCCTCGTCTCAATCAGAATCAGAAGCCAGAATCTGTGTGACCTCTTGGTTGACGAGGGCCAAAGAACAGCCAGCATGGCTGCCCAGCACGGCGAACTAACAGCAAACTTGACTTGACTTGTAAATGCTCGGTAAGCTGAGCCATGAGACAGTCCACTGACAACAAAGGCGACGCGTACAGACTGAAGGGCCCCTGGGCCCCAAAGGGATCGTGAACATTGACTCACACGGGGTGAATTTAACAGCATGAGGCAGCACCCTGACCAGAATCACCACCAGTTTGAGGGGACATCCAAGAACGCAATGCTGGTTTACAGTACGTAACCTGCGGGCCTGAAACTGCTCAGGCCAAGCTGCCCCACACCTCAACTCCACTACTGTTACTGTCCTTAACATGGCCGTCTATGAGCGCTTTGCTAAGCTTTTTGCGGCTTAAAGGCCTTGTAGGAGTATACTGAGTATACCTGTCACAGAGAACAGTCACTGCTCAACTCATCCAGCGCTGCACCTTTTTTGCGGGAGCATCCACAAGTGCCACAGTCACAGTGTCTGTCACACGATCAGTCCACATCCTTCGGGTCGTCTGTCTCCACCACTTCGTCGTCCTGCGCTGCTTCTTCCTCCCCACCTTCATTCGCAAGGTCCGCGTCTTCCTCAATCCCACCATCCTTCGCCGCCTTCGCATCATCGCCTGACCAAAGCAAAGACAATGGCAGTCGAGAGCATGGATAGCTTGGGTGGATACTGTGACTGGAAGAAGCAGCAAGGCAGGTCACGTCCCACTGTTCACTGTTACCCAATGCCAGTATCATGTTCATTGAGTTTCATGAAATGGGCCCAAACAGTCTTGGCTGTTTTGCTGCCTGCACCCTGGTCTGGGATCTGAGCCCTCAAAGAAGCCTCCCAGGATTTTGATTTGGCGTTGCAAGAGATTTGAATAATAACAGCAGCACGTAAGGCATAAGGTCAGCAGACTTGCGAGTCAGGGTTTGATGTGTAAAAAACATCGATAGTCCAAGTCTAAGTTTTGACCAGTCATCGTCAATCCAAAAGATTTGAGGACGCGGCAGCCAATTGGCGGCAGAAGTTAAAGCTGTCTCCACCCACGGCGTGAGTTCGGACAATCTCCTGATAGGGACATTCAGAGACGGTGACGGGGCGTCCGAAAGTTTTTAAGCGCAACTCTTTCTCACACATTTTTCTGAGTCGCCCACGATGGCTTCGCGGCACTTCTGTGGATCCAAACGCATGCCGCCAACCTAGTTTCACCAGTTTGTAAGATTGGGACGCAGAACCGAGCAGAAGCGCAACGCAAGATATTAGTTTAATCAAAGCGCAAGCCAATCCAATACAGACCTAGTGTAGGACACACAAATCACGAAACCTGCACGAAGAAACACGTTGACACACCAAGTACAGGCTAGGAGCGCAAATCTCACTCCCATCAACTTTGATGCAAAAGCGGCGTCCCCCATAGTTGTACACATTGGTGACATGGCTGCCGCCACCGCTACCACTGCCACCACCGCCACCACTCCCACCACCTACTAGGCACAAGACTTCGGGCAGAGTAATGATGGCGCACAATGAGCCCAAACAAGAATCAAGCTTTCCGGCCTGATGGGCGGCGAAGAGCAGATGGGCGCTTCATCACAGATGGAGCAGGCGCGCTGGAAGAGCCACCCCCTTCAGCAAGGCTATTTCCTCCCTCAGGCTCAACTGGTGCTGGTTCTTTTTTGGGAGTCACCTTTGCTTTCGTTTTTGGCAAAGACTTGGCCTTTGCCTTCGGTTCTTCTGCTTCTGCTGTTTCCGCCTTTTTCTTTGGTTCCGCCTTGGCCTTTGACTTTCCCGTTGGTTCCGACTTTTTCTTTGGTAATGACTTTGCCTTTCCCTTTGCTTCAGCCTTTGGTTTCTTGGCAGGCGCCTCACCTTCAGGCCGCTCCACCGCCGCGGGCCGCTTGCGAACCGGAGCGTCCTCCTCTCAGGCATCCGCGTTTCGAATGCATGTCGAGCTTTGAAGGCAACTTGACAACCGTTTCTGGTTACAGCGTTGATTAAAGCAATCTAGAAAAAGACATGGACTGATGTTCTCCTCTTCAGACCCACTCAAAGCAGTAACTGCTGGAAGAACTGCCATCCGCCACACAGCTAAACTCTGCCAGTCACACAAACGTCAGACACTTTCTTTGAGGGCACTAAAAATGCCGGCGCATTCAGCTTCAAAAGAGCAAACACTCGTACTAGTAACATGGATTGAAGGGGCCTTTAAGTGGCATTGCAATAGTATATAGTCATTATTGCGTGTCCATGGGTCTTGAATCCAAGCAGCGCATTCATTTTGAACTGCTGTGGTCTTTGGGAAAATGAACTGCCAGCAACTGGGGCTATGATTCCACGCTCACGCACTTGCCCCAGGCCCTACAGAATCGACAGGCCGGTTGACAGCTGGAGGGGGTGGAAACACGTCGAGTTGATAGTATTTGAATTATTTGAAGTGAATCCAACATGCTCAGAAAGGATCTTGAATGGCCTCCTCCCAATCACAAAACGCCTGACTGATTCACCATGAAGAATTTTCAAACCCAGAGGCTCACAGCTTGACCCAAGTCAAAGGAGGAATTTGGACCGACGCCGTGAGGTACACTTTTGGCTTGGTCGGCATGACCTTTGGCGTTGATCCTCCAGCTTGCACTTGGACCTGAGGCAACTCCGCTGGGCTGACTTTATGAAAAGTCCCCAATCTCAGTGGCATTACGGCAAAAGGTCTTGAGGGTCACGTCTATTGATAGCTACAGGTTCTTTGTAGTTTTTTCTTGCAAACCCCTGCCTCCCACACCAAACCCGCGTGAGAACAGGAGGACTGACGGGGCACCTTATCCATCGCACCCCCAAAAGCGCACCCCAAAGTTGAAGGCTTGTGGGCCGAGTGATCGAAACCAGAAGCCAATGAATTTGGCTTGAAGCAGTTCGTTGACATAGAGGGATCAGGCTTCACGTCATACCTCCACGGAACCAATGTAGGGCCAGATTTGTCCGTGCCAGCAGGAGCCTGAGACCGCGTTTGTGAATCAAAGGTTTGCGCAAAATATGCAGGTTTTGGACGCAGGTTGAGCCAAGGGGCAGGCTCCATTTTTTGCGTGCATTCATGGTCCCAAATGGCAAGGTCAGTGATCCCACGCTCCTGCCCAATCTTGCAAAGGAATTGACAGAATGGCATGGGCGCTTTTTCGAAGGCGACCAACGTCATGTCGCTCTCCAATCGCCAGGGGAGCGTGTGGGTTTCAGCAGGACCCGAACCTAGAACATTACATGGCAAGCAGAAACACGCTAGCCGCTATTCACGTTCTCGGCATCAAGCATGTTGTCCAACATCTTTTATCTGTAAAATGTGCAGAAAACGTGTTTCAAATTGAATGGCCCAGAAACTTTTCACAATCCTCATCTCAAAGGACCCCACATTGAAGCCGAAAAGTTCTCCGCAAGGAACATCCATCGCCTCCGAGTTCAAGTTCCCGAGGTAGATATCAAAAGACTTCGTGATCAGGATCGAAGGCCTGTTCGCCTTTCCGGGGCACAGCGCCAACCTCGGGAAAAAAAGTACCCCAAGGCACAAGAAGGAAGCTTTCAACCCCAACATCATAAAAGCACTGATTAACCCTGGGCCCTCCAGTACAAGCCACACGTCTACGCTCATCAATTGGACACGACGTCGCTGCACAACCGACTTACGTCAAAAGCCTAGCAACCGGTCCTCCTTGAACTCGCTGGACGGCGTTCTGGCAAGGTCAACCTCCCGAGACAGGTCCAACACACGCGTCCCAGTAAAGTCAGGCGAGCCGGCAGCCCTTGCGCTCACAACGGCGCTCTCCCCACCAGCGGAAGAAGGCCACAAGTCTTCCAACTCCTTCTTCATCCGCAGAATCTGCGCATGCTGGTCACTCCCGTCAGCAAATTTCCTGACCAAAGCATCTGGGAAGATTGGCCGGTTGTTGTGCCACAGGACCAGTGACAGGGAAGGTTTCTCCTTCTCCTCCTTGGGACGTTGTTTTGCTGGCGCGTGCGAGCTACCATCCCAATGGTTATATACCATCTCCTCCACTGCAGCAAGGTTATCCTTCTGCGAGTCCTTGATCAATCCCATGTAAGAGAGAAAAGGTGTGTGCCCGGCCAAGCGTCTCTCGCAAACAGCGCGGCCAAATTCCGCGTACCTTGCGGTCAGGGCTATATACTCCCCCAAACCTCAAACCTCCACAAAGAAACGCCAACTGATTTGAACAGACCACACGCACTGCAAGCCGGCCTGTTGGGGAGGATGTCGAAGACTATCACTTTGTCTTCGGGATCTCGCGTCAGCCCGTTCAGGTATGCATCGATGATGCCATTGTGGACTGCAAGTCCCTTCCTCAACACCACTGCGTGTAGGTTCTACTGCTTCAAACTCTGTCCCCCCAAAAAAACACGCACACACCTGAGCGCAAAAATTTCCTTAATTTCTCACCAAGCTAAGTGTCTGCTCGACGCGGGCAGTGGGGCCCGGCTTCACATCAGCGTCATATCCAATCAGGTCTGTGAACTTGATGAGGGTCAAAGGCCCAATCAAGGCAGGCGGCGACCAATGGAGGGACGCTCTCGTGCCAGATCCCGTGACTGCGATGCACGTTTGGATCCCACTTCTTCGATCAGAAGACCGTGCATCCTGTGGCTGCGCAAAGTTCACTGCAACCGTTTGCGTGACATCCAGGCCGGCGCCCATCAGGTGATCCTCAATGATCCTCCTGTGCTTGAGCAAGGCGCTGCTCGCGGTGTTCGAATGGGGCACTGGAAGCTGCACGTGACCGATGTTTGTCACACCCAGGCTCAATATACCGTTGCCAGCGTGCTCAAAGCATTCTGGACCACCATTGCATTTGCCGGAAACACAGTCGCGTCCAGCAGCGCCAAAACGTACCTTTAAACCCTAAATTAAAAGAAACGACTGTGGCCAATATAGAAAAGCCAAAGGTGAAAGAACATAAAAATAGCACCAGCACCAAAAAAGAATGGGCAAGGTACGCACGGCCTCCGCCTTCTGTCAATTTGCTGATCTGAGACGTCAGTGCTCTGACGGCAGAACTCATTGCGCTGTCAACAACAATGAACTTGCAGCTCGTCTCCAGCCAGTCTCGGGTGTAATCCTGCCCAGTCCTGAGGAACAAAATGGAAAAAGGCTGGTCAACCTCCACACCACCCACAAATACCAGACTGACCCCAGATAATAGCGCAACGCAAGATATCCTATATGGCTCATCCCTACTTGCCCCCGCATAGTAGGGTCAAACCTTGCGTGGTTTTTGAACTGCGAACCCAAACAAATCTGACACAAGTGTCTTCTGTCTCTGAGCCAAGTATTTGATGTCGAGGGCCGCCTCTTGCGCTTCCTTCTCCTTCGTAGGCACGCGCTCCTTCAGCACTCCCAAGTCCGCCTCAAACTTGAGTTGGAGCTGCTTCAAAGTGGCTGTGTTCACCTGGTCAGCCAATTCACGGTCACGCTCCTCAACCTCTCGCTTGCCGCGCTCCGCGATGTCCGTGCAAATGCTCCTGCGCTGTTTTGAATGGGCCACCAGTGTTTTACATGGGACAAGGTCTTTTTAACCAAGAAGGCTTTCAGCCAAAACAACCTTGCAAACTGCATCGCAAACCCCCTTTCCTCAGGAAGGCCACAGAATCCAAAGGCGCTGGTGGCGCCGTGGTAGAGATTGCATGCACGATGTCAGGATCGAGAAACCCCATCATGAATTGCTTTTGTAGATCGCTGGCAACATCATCATACTCTTTCGTTGGCACCTTCTCTCGCAGCAGTCCCATGAAATACAAGAAGCCTCCACAGCATGCGTGCAATTGATTGCTCTCACGCAAGCCCCAACTCTTGCACATGTTCGGTGCCAACTTGTCCCAGTCTTGGCACATGCGGCGCACAAGTAGCAAAGCCTGAGTTTCTGAAAAGGTCAGCCGCGCAAGGTGAGCAATAACTTATGGGCTGCGTGTTTGGTCCTTAAATATGGCCCAAAAATTCAAATCCCCAACTCTGCAAGTTGAGAAGCTCAAAGGATACAAAATGGGTCAAATAGCGTGGAACTATCACTCCAGTTTCAATGGTCTGAAATTGTTGGCGCCTACGTTACTTTGTAATTGGCAGCAGTATCGGCAGTGGCTATCGGCAGTGAACCCCAAAGCCCAAAGCTCAACACGGGAGGCGTGACACGGACGCATTCTATTTACTTTGACAACCAGCCAAATTGAACGGGTTACCAACAACACAGCATCAACAGCAGCAGCAGCAGCAACAAGAACAACAGCAGCAAAAGCCAGCTTAACGTCGTCAGGGAACAAGCTCATTGTCATCCTTGTTTGTGAGCTGGCTAGACCACACTTCGGCCCCAGGAATCGAACTGGCGCCCGATGAGTAGGCCAAATTGAACACGCCCTTCGCGACGGTTTCGTGGTGCAGGAAACCGCGCATCCCGCGCATACGAACGGCCTGTCGAAGCGAATCCACCACCGGCTTAGCCACATTCTTTTGCAGATTGACCACCGACATGCTTTCAAACTTTCCGATTTGGAAAGCGCGAGCTACGGAGGCTGCATTGTCCCACACCTCAATTCGCAGAACATACTCCAACTCGCAAAACAGGATCTCAACACAGTGAAGTAACAAACCAACAGTTTGAAGAAATTTGTTTCATTCCAATTCTGGGCCGCTGGTTCTTTCCCCCGACTTGGCCATGAAAGAAAAGCCCCCAAGTTGCTTGCGACCCATCCAAAACCTGGGTTTTGAGTTCTCGACAGAAGACTTGGAGGGGCCTTTTCATTGCCAAATGCTGACTAACACAACAAGGTAAGCTAGCGGCACTTATTATTCAAAACAAGTAAGCGCAGCTCAGGCACAGCAAGCGATTCTCCGGAAGATCCCGCGCGCTCCAGAACTTCCATCTGTCGCATCAGATTGAACACGTGAGGCGCTCGCCTCGTTGAGGTTGAGGACATGGTAATGCCTGCATCAAGGCCACATGTAGGCTACAAAGTGACTAGTGGCGGCTATTGCAAGTGAAATGAAGAAAACCCAACACCTAAGACAGAATGGAGAAAACCCGACTGCTAAGACCAATCGACTAACAGCCGGGTGCCTCTAGAGGCAAGGACCTGGTCCTGCACATGGTCATAGTGGGCATAGGTCGCGTGCACTGTCTTCATAGAGTTCTGACACACCAACAAACTGAGTCTCACAGTGGCCCTCACACTCAAGCAACCAAACAACGTTCGCTTTGCTACCTCGACCTCCAAGAGAGGTCAAGTCAAGACCACAAAAATAAATAGGGCCAACTGCAGTGTAGTTGGCCCTATTTCCTTTTGCAGTCTCTTGACCTCTCTTGGCTCTTGCCGACGCCGCTCGGAAAAACATGCTACCTCCGCACCTTGTAGGATTCAGAAAGTTCATCGAAATCCAGAGCCAAAGTGCGGATTGCTTCTGCAACGATCAAAGCCGTGATCGATCGCCTCCAGCCCTTGATATATGCAACGGAAAAAGGCGGAATTTCATCACCTTACACAGCGACCCAATTTCAATTTCTATCTTTGGGTGCACACAACACACCACCATAAATATACTAAATATCAAGAACGATGAGCGAACCCTTCAAAGACTGTGCTGCGCACTGGCCAAGGGTGGCAAAGATTTGCACGATGCCTCAAGGAATGCGCTATCTGGCTTAGTGATAGCCAGGCGCTCTACGCCAGGCAAAGCTGCATCTGTACGAAACCTAGGTTCCAAGCATCTTCAACTGAAAGTGTTCAGTCCAGCTGAGGTTCGGCAACACCTTTTGCTGAAAAAATTGCACATCGACTCAGCCATGAAACCCCTCCGTCAGGTAGAGCTCCGCCAGAGTATACAACTGTTCCGGTTCCTGAAGGGAGCTCAACCCGTGATCGGCTCGCCATGCAAGGTGGTACGGTCTCAGGGCGTGCACACCCTCGCGCAGCTCATCTGGTGATCTGTGCCTGCAGCTGCTGCGCTTGGCAGCTCAATGCACCCTTGAATTGCAATCGTCCACTTGGATTGGCTTGCATCAAAGACCCCCACAAGTCCGGTTCGACCTGCCTGAAATGCAGGTTTTGGAGGGGGAAAGCCGGACTTGTGGGGGTCTTTTTCTCACAGGCCAACTCAAGTGGAAAATTGGCACCCTTGAACACACAGTTCAACAGTACTGCACACTTTTACTTTTAAAAACCTCACTGACAGCTGGTATGTCTGGTAGGTGGGCCTTGGATCTGCAGGGAAGGTCGCATTCAGCCACTGCGCAAAGTCAAGCTTCCGCTCCTGGTCTTGAACACTGATCATCACAAGACCTTTTTCGAAGGGGGATCAAAGGACCGAAGTTTTCAATGGCACGCACAGCTCACATCTTCTCCTTCGTTGGATACTTGGTCTCCAAATATTTGTCTGGCCCTGTGCAGGGTGTCACATAATCACGAAGCCTTCAGCGGGGGGAAACTCGACAACACATGGGAACCGACACAACCGAAACTATTCAAGCCTGCTGTGTTCTAGAACCATGTATAGAACTTGAAATCAACCTAGCGACCAGTCAATCACCTTCTGAACATGGGCAAAACGTCCGTCAAGGTCAGGCTTCAGCACCTTCGGCTTGGCACCACCTCCACCGCCCGACTTTCGCTTTCCTCCCATGACGTCGCGTGAGCTCTACCCTGTCAAACTCACGCTCGGCCAGCTTGGTGCCAAAATTCCAACACATGTATAAAAACACAAAACGTGAACGGCGCTGTTCCCATGTGTCGCGCAGCACATTGCAACATTGTAAGCCTGCTGGTGTCGTGCACGCCTACTGTTTCTGCATCAAAGAAAACGGGAGGTTCACAGTTTTCACACGTCTATATCTCCAATCATTCATTGCCTTTGACAAATTTTGAAGGCAATCGCTGGCAACAACGATCTTGCTGGATTTCAGGCGCATCCCACTCACCTGGCCGGAAGAAGCGCGCATTGTCGAACTCTGCCCCTTGTCGTTTTAAAGAAACGTGCCAACAAACAAGTGAAAGCGGCACACCCCACACACAAACACAAAGTAAACAGCGTCATCTATTCTTGAATCCAATCTAGCACTCATAACGACTCTCCTGGCCCTTGGCAGTGCTTTGTTCAATCGCGCGCTCAAATCCATGGAGTTCCCAGCCAGCTAACAAGCACTACGTAAATTAGCCGGACAGCTTTGCCCACACTATGCGCCCCCGCTTGTACGGCAGCTTAATTGGCTCAGGGTAAAGAACGGCGTCTGTCAGGACCCATGCGTACGCTGCCTTCTTAGAGGCCGGAACAAATCTCAACAATTTTGACACCGAGTAGAGGCGATGCTTGCTGAGGTTGTGCCTGAGGCAAAGGAAATCTTGCGGGGCAGATAGGAAGGAACCACGGCGCTCCCCAACTTTGATGCAAGCAGTCAGGGTGGCCTCGCCTAGAATCATTGCTGCATGATTCGGTGAAGTGTTGGCAGTGCCTGCTATGCAGATTCGTCCCCGCTTCTTAGTAGACTGGCACCTAATTTCCCAAAACTTCTCATTCTTCAAAATTCGCTTGGCCCACTTGTAGCCAATGAGCAAGGCGGAACTTGGCGGCATGGCGACGCCACTCCAGCCCTTTGCGATAGCAACTTGTGAAAATGTTCCTTCAACCCTGAGCCTGGCTGCGCTGCTCCCACCATTCATTCTGACTTACAGCAGCAGCTCTTGTAACTTTAACTTTGCGCTGAAATTGAAGCTCCAACACCCACCCCCGCCTGCCAAAAGTATGGCCCCACAACGTGTACCTCTCAGTGCAGGATTACAACTTTCCATTCGGCTTGAGTCGTGAAAATCGAACTTGCGACGGTCATACTCAAGAAAGGCCTATTAGCAACCAAACAAGCATAAGTGACGGATCAGAGTATGATCCGTCACTAACTTCCCAAAGTTGTAAGCGTAAATCCTGTCACTAAGAGACTACGCTTTGGATTGGGGAGTTGGTGACGGATCCGAGGTCTGATCCGTCACTAACTCAACACCTGGCATGGTAGTGACAATTTTCAAGATTCAGGCCTGCCCACCCCCCCTCCCTGCCACAGGGCAGAAAGTGACAGATCAGAGGTCGGATCGGTCACTAACTCTAGTGCGATGATAGCTCATGGTTAGTGAAGAATTGCTTTCTGTTTTTTGAAAGTTAGAAATAGTAATGTCCACCCCGCACCCAAATTTTTTGAGTTTAGGGTTTAGGGTTTGGTAGCCAAGGGTGTTTCGTAGTGTTTTTACATGATTTCCAGCGGTACATTCTTTCTGGCTGCGATATTTCTGATTGGGGCGTCCCTTTGTTGGAGTCATATCCGGCCTTGGTCAGGCTGATGATGAGCACTTTTCGCGTCGCGGACCTGTGAGGGCAACTTGGCAAAGTCGGCTACAGGGCAGGCCTAGAAAAATATAGCCTTTTCTGAAACCCTTGAATACTGTGGCAAAGTGACATGCTATGTTTGCGTTTCTGAAACACTCCTGTTCGTTTCCAACGCTGCGCGTCAAGGTGTTTAATTGTTGCAGCAGCCTAATTTGGGCCCCTGACTCCTGGACACAAAGATGGGGTATTGGGAACATCCAAAACAATGTTAACAAATCATTTTCTCAGCTAACCACTCAACTGCAATCAAGAAATCGCTTCGCCCAAGTCTGCGGGCCGGTTCACCTTCGAAAATACTTGCCATTGGCCAGGTGAGTTAAAGTAGAAAATGCCAGACAGGCTTGCTGTGGCACAACAACATTCCCCAAACACGACATCCTGGCTTCATGGTTGGGATGTTTGACATCACACAACCACTGATGGAGAGGGGCAGTGCTCGTCTCGTTCCACCGTTTCTTTGCGAAAAAATCAAGCGGCAGCACCTCCTGTAGCAATCGGCCCTTCTGCAAAGTTTGTGCAATAAGATAGCTCTCAACACTGACGGCTTCGGCAGTTCCCCGACAACCTTGAAGAAAAGAGTTGGTTCGAAAGGCTAGTGTTCTTCCGAATGTTTCCAATAACTACGATAGTTTAGCTGCCGGCTTGTGGTCCCCACTTAAACCTGCTTCTGGGCGCGTCCTCCACGCTGGGTAGACGCTCTTTTCCACCATTGCCACTCAGGGCCAGAATGAACACTCGAAGACGCCCGGCCTGAGTAAGGGGCGGGCGCAAGGGTGGGGTAGCTACTTCTGCTGTTAGTTGACCATACAGGGTCCCGCTAGGTCACTGCGTCTGCCACAGACCTTGACAGTTGAATCAGCTCACCTTGAAGAATGCGTTTTTTGTCAGCTACTGTGTGGACCACGCGGTTTGCTTCATTGGGTTTGTCGAAACATTAACCTCAAGCTTCGGTGGTCTTCTGGCCAGGGGCATGTGCCACGATAAGCTTCATGAATGGGGGGCCCTACGTTTTTGTATCATGGCACTCGCCATTGGCAAAGCAGGCAAGTCAGTCACGCTCTTAGGACATGACTGGATGCCCGACGTTGGACATGCGGTTGGATGTCCAGTAGACATCCATGCCACGCTTTCCACACTCCTCCAGCCAAGCTGATTGGTTTCTGCTCGTTCTTTTAGTTCAACCAAATCCATGAAGCACATTGATCCGTGTCCGACATGGCAGCCACAGTGAACACAGTGAACACAGGATAACATATAATTCACATCTCCTACCGAAAACCTTGGCCTGCGGCGGCGCTAGTCCGGTAAACTAAAAACACAAACCACGGATAAGTCGTTGAGACGGTCAACTCCCATCCTCTAGAACGTAGTTGAAAAGCAGCCTGCACTGCTGTTGCTGGCTAAGGAGAGCTCCGACGTTCTCGAAAAGCATCATTCGCCTCAATGGTGAGGCGCAAAGCGGTTTTCTGTTGTCATGAATGTTCTGATGTCACAACGAAGGCATCCGGGTACAAACAATGAGAACCTCAGAGTCACACGCGCGGGGGAGCTT